GTGCCTTATTCCCGTGCGGCTTCCCAAGGGCACCGGGGCGGGCGTCCTTGCTGGCGCCCAGGCCGCGGGTTCGGCGTGCTCCCAACCTGGGTGCCAGCAGCGGAGAGGATGAGGAGGCTGCGCAGAGCGCGGCTCTGCTGGGGTGCCCCGCGAGGCAGCTGAGCCCAGGGCAGGGCCCTCTCCGGGCACCGCGTTACTGCCGCGCTGGCCGGTGCCCGGTGGAGCGTCAGCGCCCGGAACCCTCAGCCGGGCTGTGTCCTCTGCTCCCAGCATCCGCAGCCGAGAAAAGACAGATGTGCTATCGCCGTGGCCGTCGTCTCTAGAACAGGCGTTTTTCTGAGGTTCCCGCTGTTGCCTTGGGGAGGTTTTGGAGATGTGGGCCCAAGAATAATATTAAGTAACTGGAGGAGATGATGGAAAGTTAATGACATACTTTGATGGCTGCAAAGTCAGAGCGCAACACAGTGGGAGCTATGAAATTTGTTGTTAGAGGTGGCTTTTTTTGAAAAGCAGGGTGTTTTTCCTTTCTCAAGATGTTATATTCTTAGCCCAGGCAGGACTTAAATCCTAAAATAATTGTTACTGTTTCTGGACTGTCAGCACCATTCCAGATCATAGAATGGTCTAGTATCAAAATTTAGTGGAAACAGAGGTTTGAATTGTTTTACTTTCTGGTGCTTACGCTGCACGGTCCGTGTCAGATGCGGTGGGTGTAGCGCGGACTTGACGTAGCGGCGCGTCCCCGCGCGTGGGGGACGTCGGGGGGTATTCGCACGTGTGACTGTTGAGCTCTGTCCTGCTCGTGGACTGAAACCGGTGCCGTTCAGTTTCAGGAGGCAGCCGCCTGATCGAGAGCTTTCGGAAGTGGTACTACAACGCGGCCGGCTTCAACAAGCTGGGTAGGTCCCGGGCCTGCTGCTGGACCCATGCACAGGCTCCTGCCAGCTCGTTTGAGTCTGTAATTGCTATGCACGTTTTCATTTAACATGTTATTCTTTATCGAATACTCTTTGTTGAAACCAGCCACTATTTTTGGTTGTGGAAAACAAGTTCGTAACAGCTTCGGTCCTTGTGATTGCTGCCTAGTAAGAATTTTTTTTTTCCTTCAGTATTAGCTCTTTATTTTCAGTGAAGCAACTATGGTTAAACAGGAGCTAGCTGTTGACTATTTATTTTCATAAAGGAGATTCTGAAAGCCTGGAAATCACCCCCTACCATGTCAAGTTTGGTGGTGTCTTATACTTTCATTAGCTCTCCAGAGGCTGCCCTTTAAAATGCAGCTTTCCACTGGTAGCAGTCAGTCTGCGTGGGATACTTTTTCTTTCTCATTCCCTCCTCCTCTGCATCATGGGAAAAAGCTTTTATGTTTTTTATCATTGTAACTTCATATGATGTCTCCCTGGCAGCATGAGGGTGAAGGAGCTGTAGAAACTGTTCCTTAAGCAAAGGAGAATGCCTGGATGGTTTTTACTTTGTAGGTCTGTCATGGAAAAGTCAAGTTTTTCATTTTTCTTGTTTGTTTTTGGCCTAAGTTTAATCCCCTATTGTTGTCTTGACAGCAGCTGGTTTAGGCCCTTTTCTTACCTGTCTGCTAAAATTATTGAAGCTATTAGTACTTGCTACTTTTCTTTGAATGTTAATAAAAACCTCAAGAAAAATACACTAGTAAATATGAAGTTTATTTATATATACTTAAAAAAAATGAAAAAAAAATGAATTCAAGAATATTTAGAGAGAGATTACTGCTAGCTCAGTCACACAAGATTAAAACCTTTATCCATGAGCCATTATGTCTACTATTACAATCTGCATCTATCTTAGAATGTTACAGGAACAAAACAAACCTTTCCTCTTCTTAATATAAAGAAATATATTTTTAAAATCTTTGAATGTTAATAAAAACCTCAAGAGAAATACATAAATAAACTGCATATTTACTAGTGTAAACTTTTTTAAAAAAAGGGGAAAAAAAGAATTCAAGAATATTTAAAGAGATACTATTGCTAGCTCAGTCACACAAGATCAAGACCTTTATCCGTGAGCCATTATGTGTATTCTTGCAATCTGCATCTATCTTAGAATGTTATAGGAACAAAACAAACCTTTCCTTTTCTTAATACCCAAAAATATATTTTAAAATATATTTTATCTTTGAGAAAGCTATTTT